TAGATAGATAGATAGATAGATAGATAGATAGATAGATAGATAGATAGATAGATAGATAGATAGATAGAGAAAATAGCCTAAAAACTCTCTCTCACTCTATGTATATGTATATGCACAAAAAAAGTATTTTCAAATGAAACAGCAGACATTACTTTAAAACAGAATTGACTTTCGAACCGTCTGCCCACTTCCTTCCGCAAGTTAATACTGTTCGTCTCTCTAGGGTTTTGCTCGATTACATGAAGTGGTTGCTTTAATACCTTCAGCAGCAGGCAGACATGCAGATTACAGAGCTAGAGCCACTCGCCCTAGGATAGGAGTAAAATAACTCAATATCTTTAGAAGACTGACTGGCTGGGGGAGGTTGCTTTAATACCTTCAGCAGCAGGCAGACATGCAGATTACAGAGCTAGAGCCACTTGCCCTAGGATAGGAGTAAAATAACTCAATATCTTTAGAAGACTGACTGGCTGGCTGGGGGAGGTGAATGCGCTATTCTTGTATCCGTAAAAAGGCTGCGTTAAATAACGACAACGCATAACACAGCAGAGCAGAGGTGAGGCAAACAAACGGCCCTTGCCAGAGAGGTTGGTGCGAAGACTGCAACTCGTGCAAGAACAGCAGCATCGTATAGCATTTAGATATGAAAGTGAAGCAAGGCTGCGACGCGGATGTCCCGTGTACGACCGAAGAGGTTTTGTTAAAAAGCACAGAAATAACGCCGGAGGATGTACTCGGGCTGCAGAAGATCACAGACAGTAAGTTCAGTAACATCAATGTCACTCTCAAACAGGAAGCTTCCGCTGACGAGCTGCTCTGCTAACTTACACTGTTGCACATTTACCAGTGCGAAATTGCAGGTTTCGCTCCTGCATGTTTAGTCTCGCGGTTTGTGTTTTATTCAGTCTTGCGCTGTGACATTCTAAGTACGAAACATTTAGCGTCTGCGTCTTTGTATGGTCTTCATTTTGGCCGAACGAACCCAGTGATTTGGTTCATTCGGCTCTTCCTTGGTAAGTAAACAACACCGTGGACATGTCCATGTACTGACTGACAGTGACGACGTATGCTATTAAGTTTACTGATGAATGGGCTGAGAATTGAGAAATATATCCATTATTTATGGTCGAAGTGGACGGAACACCGTAGTAAAATACTCGGACAGAGGACTGTTCATCAGCGTTGCGAATGAATGACTCTTTTGAGCCGGTTCTTTTTAGCAAATCAAAACTATAGTCCGACAGCTTTGTCTATGTAGTCCGCTTCTCGAACGAATGACTCTTATGAGCCGGTTCTTTTTAGTGAATCAAAACACTTAATAAGCACTGTATTATTCTGACGTAGGTTCATATGAAAACGTGTAGTCAAAGATATACATTTTGTGTTTTGTTGTAATCAGTGGTATTTCATTTAAAAAAATAGGCTGAAAGAAAGAAAGGTATGAATTATAGGCTAAGCAACAACAGTTAACGTAGGGCAAATTTTAAAGGACCTCTAAATAGTCATTAAATACAAGAGTTATTTGTTAACCGAGATAGCCTAACTGATTCTCAGGTGTGATTGTTTTGCAAACATTTTTCCAGAATCTAAATAAGATGGCCTATCTTATGATTAGAGGATCATTTGTATCCATTATTCATTTTTAATGAAGGTTTTTATGTCCATGTAAGATTACAAAGTTATTACTCTTGCTGAAACTCATACTATCTGGGAAGGTTTTCACAAAACAGGCTTCAGTATTTACTTTAATTACTGTTTAAGTACTGTAAGTACTGTAGCACACACTTAAACAAGTGATATGGTTATTACATTGAACTAAAAATCCATTAAAATATTACTTGAAATTAAATATATAATAACTAAAAATATAAAATAACTAAAACTTTATTTCAGCTAGTTAAAGGCACAATATGTAAGATTTTTTATTAAAATATCCAAAAACCACTAGAACAGTGTTATATATTTTGCTGACTTGTGTACTTGCATTATCCCAAATGTTTCGAAGAATGTTTAAATCCAGAGAAATAAGCAATTTTAACTAGTGACACGGACCGTGTCCATAGTGTCATTGTGTCGCCTGCCGATGACGTCATAACCCCTCGATTTCCGGTTTTGTTTTGTAGAAAACATGGAAACACCAAAGACGCTTTAATATGTTGTGCGTTTAATAGACCGGTGATGACTGCACAGAGTAGCATAATAACAGAACTTTCAAATGTATCTAGTAGGATAAAACAGCGCAGCTTTTTTTCCCCCCACATACGCACGATCGGAAAGAGCAGAAGCAGTCGACTGTGGCATAATAAAAGCTCCGCTGCTTTCGAGCCGTGTGTCACGCTCGCTCAGCGGCCTCGTTTCGCTTCGACGGCTTTCAGCCTCACCCTGCTTCATTCTACTACGTTAATAAATCATTAGCTCATCCATGAACATGATTTCTGCCCGAGTCCCGTCGGATTGTATCGGCTGTGGGGATGAAGACCACAACTCCCATGATTCCACACTCAGTCACGGCATCATCAAACTACACCTTTGTCTCTTTGTTTATTTTTAATATGCGCCCTCCAGCGGCGAAAATTACATATTGTGCCTTTAATCTGATCAATTTGATGATTATTTAACATATTATTGTGTTGGAAATCTATTATAATGCAATGTTTAAGAATTTTATTTGACCTATGATACTTAAAAAGGAAGTAAAATTCTGATTTACTCATTCAAGAACTGTTTCTTCTTCACTAGTTAGCTTACAATTTAATTACAATTAAAAAGAGGACCTTGTTGGTTCAGTATATTATAATTTTTGCATGTATCACTTCATCAGGAACTCAGATGCTAAGCTTTAGTACGGCTGGATGACTCCATATTGCTTGTGAGCTGTTGTTCTGGCTGTTTTAATGTTGTCTTGCTCATTGCTGCAGCATGCAAGGCACTCTATCTGGCACTTAAACAAAGATAACTGAGCAAAGACCAGATCTGTTAAATGCAACTGCTCAGTTTCTACAGATTTCAGATCATCAACAGTTTTTACATCACTATCAATGTCACAACTTACTGAAAGACATTTGCATTACTGTTACCCTTATCTCATGACTTACAGACCATAAAGAATATTTCACTTGGAAATAATAGCTACTCTCTCATCTTTGCCATCACTTGTTGTTGTGAGTCATTAGCTCTGAAATATGAGTGGTTTGTGGTTGAAAAATCTTACAGTGTATTCTTATCCTGAGTTTTAAAACATCTACTTGAATAAATATATTTACAAATGCGTGGAAGAGAAGTGCTGAGAATTCACTCTCCTTTATTTAAATGGAAAAAAAACATGTCTGTCTAATCATTTGAATTAGTGCTCTAAAAATAAAAACTGCTCTTGTTTAAGGATACCGGCTGCTATTCTGAGGAAAGTGGATATTTGTATGCAAGCTTTTTTGTCTTCTTTAACTCGTTACTGTTATAAACAAGAATGCAGTGTATATTTAAGTGATAAAATAGTATAAATGTAAGTTATGTTAAATAAATGTTACGATTTCATTAGAGAAATTGATTGGCTTTTTAGCAAATGGTTACATCCTTCTATCTTTAGTTTAACTGCTCAGTTTGGCACTTTAGTTAGAGTGTTTGGAAACTTAATAAAGGATGAATTATATGGTGTTTAGATACGCACATTATGCCTCATAAATCTAAATGAACCTGTGTGGTCTTGTAAATGAACGCTGGATCGATCATAATCTGTGTTTGTTATACGCAGCAGTTCCTTTTGTTTACCCAAAAATAACAGGTGGTAGTTATCCTGGATTGGATTCAGAAGAAATGTTGCTAGGTGACCGCATTAGAAGCAGTGAAGAGAGGCTCCTTGGTGGTTTGGAAAGCTACATTGACACCTGACTGCCACATTGCTCTGATTATTTCTGTCTTGATAATGATTTGCATAAATCTAAAAATCACACAGATACTGCTTAATATAAATGAATTGACTTGGCTATGTTAGATTACACAAACAAATACATCTTTAAGGAACAGGCAGAAATAACTCATTAAAGTAACAACTGCACATTTTCACTTTTTTATAGTTCACAAATAAAGCAGATGCTTCATAAACAAACCAGGAGCTTTGCCCACTTGATGTGAGGTTTTTCAGGCAATCATCTTGGACCACTGGTCCATTGAACTTTAAAATGACACATGGTTACACTTATAATGAGGCCTCCATCATGAAAACTGAGTTATGAAAACTAGATATTTATTTTAGTTTTTTTCAATGAATCAGCTAAACATTATAAATAATTGACTAAACTTATAATAATGCCTCCATCATGAAAACTGGGTTATGAAACTAGGTATTCTATGTTATACATTATAAGTTACTCTTCACCTCTTTACTGACTATTTGTATTTTTGCACTCACACACAGCAGTGCTCACATACAGTAGATTGGTCCCACTGTGTGCCAATTCATGAGGTTAAGTAAACATAGCAAAACATTTCCCTGAACAATTTATTGAGTGCTATAAAGGTGTTGATATAACAAGCACGTTTTGTGGTATTAGCAAGTGCAGTAAAAGAAAAAGTGAAATATGCAAAGTAGCTATCTGTTTCTTGTCTATTCAAGTTTCAGTTCTGCTCTGAATCGGCTCTTGTGCGAATGTGTCAATATCCGCGGGACATGTTTGAAAACTACTAATTCCATAGGACATTTTTTAGTGAATGATTAATGCTTGATTGTTTAACATATTCATTTATCATTTTCATCATCACATATCTGATTTGTGACAGTTTTGTGGAACTCTGCCATTTTTTATTTTTTTCCATCAGCATAATTATTTTCATGCTTACATGAAATAGTTAATTATTTCATTAATAAACCACAATATAAAGCTGTTTTAAAGCCTGAGCAGATGTTAGTATTTTGCCTTCCCTTTCTCAGATTGGCACACTTCTGAAGCAGAGGAGCTATAAATATCTCAAGTGATTGGCTAAATCCAGTGTTGCCCGTCTGTTAACTAACAGGAAGCTTGAGTAGAGGATAGGTGGGACGTCTGCACTGTCCCACAGGCAGAGGTGGACAAAGTACTCAACTCCATTACTTGAGTGAAAGTACAGATACTGCTGGTCAAATATTACTCCATTACAAGTAAAAGTTGTAAAGACAGATTTTTACTTAAGTAAAAGTACAGAAGTACTTGCTTTTAAAAGTACTTAAGTACCAAAAGTAAATTTCCTTTTTTATGTCAATGCACTGTTTTATTGATGTACATAGTAGTACTTACAATACTTCTGAAGCAACTTAGAATACATTACACCTGCTGAATACACTGACTAGCTTGTAGTATATTTGGAATAAAGAGCTTTTAGAATGTTAAAAACCTATGGGGAAAACAACAAAACAAAACAAAATCATTTAACACCCCTACTCACCCCCACAAAAGCAGGATGGTAGTGATCTCACACAGTTCTGACAGTGTGTGCACATCTATGTGTAGCCATTCATCCACATAATTGAACAGAGTGGACAGTGAAATGCTGTAAATACAGAGTGATAAAGAAGAAAAAAAA